TGTCGCTAAATTTCTTAAGCTCAATGTTTAAAATTTATAATACTGAGGTAATAAAACTGAAGCTTTTATTAAAATTTTAAAAATATGGCAAAAAACCCGAAAAAAAATTCACAATCCGGGAACCGAAAGCTTTGCTGAGACGTGTACTCCGAAGTGGCCCTTACCAACTGGTGAAAAAAAAATTGGTGAGGGACCATCCTCCTAAAGAAAGAGTTTCGAATATTTCTCATATCGTTTATCAATTTCTTCTGCATCTAAGCCAAATTGTTCTAAATTGTAATCATTTCTCCCTTGTGCACCTTGTGGATTATCAATTAGCCATCTTTCCATTTTTTGATCAAAATCTAATGTTAATCGATAACCAAAATGTTCGTAGATTCGATGAACAACATCAATTGGATTTTTCATGAGATCCTGATATTTAACATGTAGTATTCGTTTGTTTTCATTTCCAAATTGCAAAATATTATCAACCAGTTTATCAAATATTTGCAAGGTTCGCATACCCATTGCTTTTAACTTTAACGTTTCATTTGAATAATAGTAAAAAGTGTATGCTGCTAAAAGTCTTGCTACAGATGGTAAAACTTCTTTTAAATCACGATCAGCCACTATTATCGATGCACTCGGATAATATTTTAATAATGTTTGTAGTGTAAGTGCATGAGTCGGACATTTTAATATCCAATGTGATATTGGTTTATCAACAGACTGAAGCATTTTTAAAAACAGCTTATGAAATTCATAAACAAATTCTTTATCATGTTCATCCAAATACCATTTTTCATACTCGGATATTTGACTTTTTATCGGGCAAAGTATGAAATAAAGAAAATTATGACCAGTATAGAATGTAATCCTTGAATCTTCCTCAATACTGAATACAGGATGGGATTGAGTTCGTTCTGTATCTGAGCCAGGTATTATATGATCAATATTTAATGACTTTAATGATTTCAATTTTTCTTGGTGTTCAGCATAGTCAGTTCGTTTCAGCGGTGGGATAGGGGTAAGCATATCAGTTAATAATGGTGCACGTCCATTTGTATCACAAGCTAATAGATTATAAAGTAATGTTGTACCACTCCGTGCTAAACCACATATAAAAATTGGTTTTTGAATTTCGTTATCAGTGAGAATTGATGGTAGCGAAGAAAGATAATTGATTATTTGCCGGTAAATATTGTATTTATGTTGAAGCTCACTATATAATAAGTGACTTCCAATCGGGCTAATATTTGAATTATTCGCAATAGCAGATTTAGCCATAATATAAGTGCTTAATACTTTTGAGCTAAGATCATCGTCACGTTGTTCTTCATCTTCTTCGAAATCAACGGTTGTTAACAGCTTTGTTGGTAAATTCTCTGTGTTGATCCGTTTACAGCTTGCCACCCATTCATTGGAATTACCCATATATTCTGCAATCGTGAGCGGAGGCAGTTTCAGTCAGAATTTTAGCGAACAAACGTATGGTAGCGATACACTATAACGACAGGATCCCATCATATACAATCGTGCAATAAACTAATAGTTCATTTTCCTGTAAAAACGATTTCCATATCTTAATTATAAATAAACAAAATGCGACTAAACGCAGACTAACTAAGAAAAACTTCTCACAAGCTATTCTTCGCCTTGCTCCTTGGAAAAACGCACAAATGGATAACTCTAGATCATGGAACGTAAACCCAAGGTTAAAGAAAATCCGACTATTATGTTAGGTCCTGTCATAACGCTGCTCACGAAGGGAAATTTCTAATTTACCAGGACCAGACTAGTCAAACGATATTATATCACTTGAATGAGAGTCAACGTATAGTATACGAACTAACAATAGTGTAGCATAGAAAAGTAAAATACAAGCATATTTGGTCACTCTTCATTACCCACGTTAAGTTAGATATAGGCAGAAAAGACACGTTGCTGTATCATTTTACGAAGCGTGACAAAGAAATAAATCATACACATAGTTAGTGGAATACAGGAAAGAAAAACAGGTTTTCGTCAAGGGCCAAGAACCTTCGAAACAGCAGAAATCACGTGGGATTTTCGCTGGAAAAGCACCTGTATCTGAAATTTCTTGGCCCTTGGCAAAAACTTGTTTTTCTAATAGCGTTTTTCTCACCCACGTCGAGTACTTGCAAATATGTGTCATCCCACGTCCTGCAATCCAGTAGAATGATGCAGCACGTACCCAAGCTTTGAAAAACGAGGAAATCGCCTCCAGCAGTTGTTTCTTTCTAGCATTAAATGTTTTCTAATCTCAATTTGAACCACTTCTTCGGATACAGCTTGAAAAGACGCGTCAAATGCATATCTTGTTGTCTTGTGTTGATATGACTTTATTGGGAAAGAATGTTTTGGAGCATTTGATCCGCTAGTGATTTTGTAGTCCTGCACGCATAGAATCTAATGTGACGGTACCAGCTCCTGCACAGTGTTTTACTAGAAAATGGTGAAATGCCTGCAAAAACGGCTGTTGTGCTGAGAAATGGGATTTCCACAGGGCTAGAAGGCCACCATACCGTTGTTTTAGAAATGTTTTAAACGTGATATTCGTCGTCAGCAGCCGGAGTTGTACTAGTCCTGTTACTCTCGAACAGTTTGGACAAGGTCGATGTAAACTCTGGTACGCTTTCAAAAGAATCACCCAGTTTGTTCAACTTTTCAGCTTTTCGACTTTTCAGACGCTTTTCAACTAATCAGCTGTACATCTTTTCACATTTTCGCCCTGTTTTTTCGACTCTGCGGCTGTTGGCTTTACAGACGCTGTTCAACGTTTCGCTTTGAAAAACCTTTCCGACTTTTGGTATCAACTTTTCAGCTTGTTAAGTTGTATATCCTTTTCAACTATTCAACTTTTCAAATTCTTTTTTCAACTTCTGACTTTACATATCCGTTGCAAATTTTCAAGTTCTGATGTCTTCTTTTCAGCTTTCGACATCCTCTTTTCAACGTTTCAGGTTTTCGGCTTTTCAGACCCTTTTCAACTATTCAACCGTGCGTCTTTTCACGTTTTCGCCTGCAGATGTTTTTCAATTTTTCTACTGTTTGCTTTACACACGCTGTTCAACTTTTGGCTTTGTATGTTTGTGTGTTTGCAAAGTGAAGCACATTATTTCCCAATACTAGCTTGACGAGCTGGAGCACATCGTGACCGGTGAAAGGCATACCAGCAGCGTTTCTATTTGCAAATACGAAGTCCGTGGCTTTAGCAGCTTCTTCATCAATAGGGACGTTAGTATAAAGTGACTCAATGAATGTAGTGGCGACGTAAAGGTTTCTTAAATCAAGTTGACTACTCCGAATTTCTGCATTCAACTTCTCAATTTCGACTAGAAATTGTTGAGTGCTGTTTAAAACTCGACAAATAACGTGAGTATTTTTGATGAATAAACACAAATGAATCGTCTACAAAACGCTTTAGCAAAAGATGACTTCACAGCAGAAAGCATACATAGAAGAAATCACGAGATACATGCAGAAACATGAAAAAACATACTGAGTAATTTTTTTGTCTTCTAATCCAGTGTGGTGTTTGATAACTTCTTTTTTCTGATATTAACCCGGTCATGGAGGAAGAAGTTGAAGAATTTTGTGATGGTGATGTTGGAGCCATAGATGATGGTGACAAATGAGAATTGTTTGAGAATGTTTCAATAGTTCTTTGAGATGATGTAATACTGGATTGCATATCTGAAAATGAAAACAACATATTTATTTGAAGTTTGTATAATGTACAGCACATACCATCAACATGCTTATTAATCTTATGCCCACAAACACATGTGTTGTCTTTCCTCTTATCTTCAACATAACGAACACAAGGATCATCTGTTTCATCACACTTGCTGCATACGTTTCGAAACATAATCTGAAGTAAAACAAATGAATGTTAAACGCCAAGAAACATTTCTGGTTATCGCAATATGCTTTTCTAGAATCCTTGTAGTTTGACTTCCTTTCCAATTGAAGTTACTAACAAAAAGCAATCGACTGGAAAATACAATACATACAGCATAACAACATATAACAACAAGAAACGATGATTAACAATCTGAATGTAACTTTACTAAAATATTCTGTCGTACTGCCGTAAGGCAACATAGCTACAATCGAATGATCATATTATAATTCTAAAATGATTTAAATATGAACTTAAAATGATATCATATCTCAGTCATTTTAAGACAATTTCATAAAATGACATAAAAAATGATCTAAATAGGATCGTAATAGGATCATATGTTGATGACCATAATAAGATGATATTTATCCCATAAAAAATGAGATAATTATCACTATATTATAATACAATAAATGAGATAAATGTGGGAGAGATAAAAACGAGCCATATATGGCTCATAAATGAGTCATTTATAGCTCATTTTTTATCTCATTATGCACAGCCTGGGTCGCTTTCAAACTTATTATGCAAATATCGAATACAGCTGAAGTGTATCGAACCAGCATGTTGTTATTCATACAGACGACCCATTCTACTCAGAAATAAAGGAGAAAATATGCTGACGTAATATGCAAACAGCTCCGAAATGAATACTATTTAACAAATCATTCGGAACAGGAGTCACATGATGTAAAATTGCGCCTTTTTGGAAAATATTGCTGGAAAGCGATCCATCTGAATTGTGATCAACAACACACTGCCAAACTTGATGTCTTTTTGAGCACGTTGTTGTTAAGTTTTTGAAGTTTCTATGCTTAATGCCTGAAATGAAACACAAAATCATGTATTTACTGAAAACGTAATCCAACAACCCGTAATCACCTAATATCTTTAAAGAATTAGTGTTTACGCTCAGAAGTAAGGCATTGTGTATATTTTTGAGGCCCAAACCGGTGCATTTGATGTGGTATATGCAATAAAAAATGGATTTCTGTTTGATACTATTTCGATAGTGTTTTGAATAAACGATTGTGCTGTAATATAATTTGTAAAAGTTTATCTGCCGTTTTATGGTCTGCTTCTGACGAATAAACTAAACTAACGACACCAACTAACGATAATATGGCGTCATATGCTTCGAATCTTGAACTACGTAATAATTTATGCAATATGAAAGGAAGGTTAACAAAAAAGATGATAGATTTGAATAGCATCAAGCGGCATACCTAGAAAGTAAAGATCACTAGCGCAAGCAGTGTTTTTGACGGACGATCAGAAAGAATTTACAGTTACCTCTGCCTGACTGTGATGCTAATTCGTCCAGCTTCATTTTCATATGCGGTTTTGATGATGATCCATGAATATTGTAATCAAAGCTATTAACAACCATGCAAAACTGTTCCATTGTGAAATAGTGATTTTGAGCACAGAAATCCAAGAATACATTCAAATGGAATTTACAAACGCCTAAAACAAAATCTGAAGAAAAGTTCCACTGGCATAAACATAAGCCATCCGAAGCTTCCTCAATTACTCAAGAGAAAACAGTATTTGTGTGACTTGAAACGTTTACCTTGTAACAAAATGTGCATAGGATCAAATAATACTTCCATCGTAACGTCAAAATGCGGCAGACTTAAGAAAGTGCTTCTTTTCATAATACCAAAAAACTTCTGCCAGAATTCAATATTATGATTATCGCCACCTTCCACCGCATTTTCGATTGTTTTACAGGCAGTTTCATAATCCTGTGCTGAGTAATGAGAAGGTACCTATAAAATATTACTATTGATTTTTGGTTCGCATTCAATTTATGATGAGGTGATTACCTGATTGATCGAATCAATATAGTTGTTTGCCGCAACATCGCAACAAGGGCAGAACTTTTTTTGCTGCAACAGATTCTTTTCTGCCGTGAATCGACTGCTGAACAGGATAGTCGCCAAGAGTAAAGAACAGGTCACCAAAATAAATTTTTTCTACTCCAGCACTCATAACACGTAAACCAGTTGTACACAATGTTTCAACACCATCAAGAAAATCAGTGTTACAGCACAGTCAGAACAGATGTTTATTTTTAACTTACCAACTACTCTATCTAGTAAATCATATTTTAATGCCGCAGAATCACACGCAGCAACCAATCTTTTGGACACTTGACGAGAACGATGATCACGTTTCAAATTCAATAAAGTCCAGTATATAAAAAACACTTTGTGTGATTTGTGCGATACAGCATTCGTAATATTCAGATCATCTAGGAACAAATAACAATTCAAATAGTCAGTATGACCCAGACAGTTAAAACTAGTGAAACTTAATACCGGAGTTAAGTTCAATCTTCAGAAACGTTGGATCTTTGAAAGCGGGATGTGAAGAAGCAAAATAGCCGTCATGGACGTCTGTCATTACTCCATTTGTTGGTACAGCCAGGCGATTCAGATCTGCTTGTACCTCGGGTAATTTCAAAAGTTACCCAAATTTTTGAGAAACGGTATAAAACTCC